GAGATTCCTACTTTGACAAGAAAATGCTCTGTGTGGTGTCTTAAAGAACCAATATAGATACAATCTTTGCTCAAGAATGTCTTTTTGGTGCATTGCTGTGAGTGGTATACAATTGGCATCCTTAATTCTCCATTGATGTCCAACTGTGAATGTTACTTCACTTCCCACACGCGGTGTTACCTGCGACTTTTTTTGGCATTGAGTTGATAATAATATGCTGAACTGTTGAATGCTATTTGAGCAGGTGTTTGACGCGTTACGAACTACAATGTTCATACTGGGAATGATTTCAGTATTTATAGGCATTTCTTTGTTGGCACCAGATGAAACAAAAGGTATGTGTGTTAGAGTTCCTTTTGCATTCTTGTTGTGCGTAGAGAAAATATGGGAAATAAATTGGAAAATCCTTTTAGGAGGGGAAATCAAGGATACAGCATCGGTTTCTATTCCTTCAAGTCTTCCGAATGACATGGACAGGTATGATACAATGAACATGTAATCATGTATTGGTTAGGGTGAAAAATGATTTTCACTAAACAAAAATCTAATTCATACAATTTGACTATATAATCACATCTTTTATCTTATTGTAAGTTATTTAGCCCCTGTTTCGTACACAGTATTTTTTTCATTCTCATTCTTCTACTCATTTTTAACCACACATTTTTTAATAAAATAATATTTTCCATCACATCAATAACTTTTCTTTCCTTTTCAACCACACATTCTCCATCAATTTACTATTCCATAATACATTCTTTCAAAATAATGTGGCTCAAACACACCCTTAATCTTCATTTCATTGATCCAAACGAACAGCTACGGTGACAGAAGCTCTACATTCTTATTCTTCTATTCATTTTCAATCACACATTTTTCAATAAAATAATATTTTTCATCACATCAATAAATTTTCCTTCATTTTCAACCACATATTCTCCATCAATCTACTATTCCATAATACATTCTTTCAAACACCCTTAACAGATAATGTCTTTTCTAAAAATAACAGCTTCACCCAGTTCAAACAAAATATAAAAATATAACAGCTTACCCTTCCCCTTCCCCTGCCCCTTAATTATTTGTATTTATATCTTGGGATATATAATTTTGTTCATATGTGATTGTCCCTCGTTTGGAATTGGTGTGCAATAATACAGGCTTGTCATGCCTGCTGACGATTCACAAACTAAAGATATGAGATCACTTGCACGAGTGATGCGGATTAAGGCTGCAAACTTGATGGTCAAGGCAAAGGTTCTGTTTATTAACTTCTTGTTAGTTTTATCTACCGAATGGTAACTTGGAAATATGAAATTTGGGCAATTTTGGTTTCTGTGCAGGCTGCTTGTTCATTATCACTGGGTTTGGGAGAAGAATCAATGCATGCATCTTCTGTTTTTGTGATGCCTATGGTTTCGTCAAAAATAACGGGCTTCAGAGGAAATAGTCTCAATCGGACGAAGTTATTCTCCCTAAGAGGCCCAAGTTGGAGTAGGGTTGCAGTGGAAGAGGAGGATGAAATCTGAAAAATAGTTGGACGCGGCTTCTATGCTCCCAGAGTATCAATTAAATTAGCAGCTTGTACAACATTTTCCCACGGATGTATTCTGAAAAATCCAATTATTATTTTTGCCATATTCCTATTTTTTACTTTATCATTCATCAGTATATCTTGTTATTCTACACCCTATTCAGTTTAATGGAATATAAATCAATGTATCTAGTCTAGTTCTGTTGCATATATTTCAAATTATAATTTTTGGAATAATATTTTTTTGGAGAATGTATGGTTGAAAAAGAGAGAAAAGTTTTTGATTTACGTGTAATATTATTTTATGGAAGATTATGTAGTTGAAAATAAAATAGAGGAGAATAATTTTTTGGGATAATGGAGGCCAAACGGAGGCATAAATTGATAGTCACAAATTTATAGTTCACTTGATGAGACTAAAATGTCTGCTAAGAAAGCCAAATTTAAAAGACGGCAATATTTACGAGGAAGAATATATAACTCAGGCTTTAACTATACTCCAATTCAATTTTAAGAAAAATGTTTAAAAATTCAAAATTCGGGTGACAATTAATAAATATTATATATAAAATAATATATTATATGTCTAATAAATATCCATCCTAACATTTCGACCCACTCCGATTCCTTCTCACTCCATTCTCTCTCTCCCCCCCTATCCTCTTCTCTCTTTGCCTCTTTCTCTTCTTATCGTCTTCTCTCTCTGCCCCTCTTTAATAGCAGTGGTAGTAGTGGACTGGAAAGTGGAGTTGGTGGTGGATTGGGAGGTCGATCTGGAGGTGGACTTGGTGGAGGAGCAGGAGGTGAGCGCGGCTGGAGATTGTTGGTGGTTTTCCTTTTTGTGGGTGGTTTTTTGATATGTGGGTGGGTGGTTTTCTGTGGGTGATTGTTGGTAGGTGGTGATGACAATGTTGGTTGTGTAGGTGGTGCTGGAGATGGTGATTGTGGATGGATTAGATCCAATGAAAATCTATAAAATTTTGGTGCTGTAATCTAAATTGAATGTAAACTGTTATCTGTGATATTGATTTAATGGTCTGTGACTAGTTCTATTGGATCTATGACATTTGGACATTGATATGTTACATGTGATATTGATCCAATGGCCTATACCCAATTCTCTTTGATCTGTGATATCTAGATATTATTCTGTTACCTATGTAAAATGACTTGAGACCCGTAACTTGTGAATTGTAACCTATTATCATGATGTGCACAAAGACATATGACATCTGATCTATGGTCAGTTATTATTGATATATGACACATTTGACATTGATCTATGACATATTAACATTGATCTGTAACCTATAAAATATTACTTATGACCTGTGACTTGATAATATAAATCATTGATATGTGATTAATTTTATTTGATCTGTGACATGTACATAATGACCTGTGACTTGTAACAAGTGTACATTGAACTTGACGCCTGAATTATAACTTGTAACAAGGAAAACTTGTGACATCTGCAAATTGGTCACATATTATTTTTCAATCACAAATTTTATAAGTTACAATTTCTTTATCGACCACAATTTACTAAACTAATAGGTCACGTATTCTTCTTTGAACACAAATTATCTATTTTGTTACATATTATTTATTGATCACAATCACCTAAATAATTTTGTGACCCTCTTTATACAACCCCAATCCGATCAAACCCAACCCCAACACCACCTCCTGGACCACCACAACCTACACCACCACCGCCCACACTACCACAGCCACCATCGCCTACACCATCATTGTCAACACTACCATCGCCACCACTACCAACAATCACAACCTCTATCTCCATCTTACCCAAAAAAAACCTAAACCCAATACTGCCACCATCCACCAGAGAACAGAGAACAGAAGTCTTCTAAACAACAGAATGGAGGAAGAAGAAAGCACACCAAAACCATCTGCAAAACTAAGATGAGCATTGTTAGAGCGGTGATCTCAGCACTGCTGAGCGCGGCGCTCAGATCAATGCCGCACATCGATAATCTGAAAATGTCGTTGTGGCACAGATGAAAGCATCGCCAAACATCACAACCAACACCAATAAAGACCCATTCACCACCACACCAATACCACATCACCATGTCGCCGTTGCTTCGTGCGTGCAGCGACATTTGCATGAAGCAGCAGCGTTCCATTAGCCACTACAGTTTGTGTGTAGTGGCCCGGCTGTCGTCGCTGCTCCATGCGCAATGGCAATGTCACCCACTTTTCACTAATTGCAGCGGCACTAGGGTCGCCTGTTGCGCTTGTCGTTGGGCACATGGGCATCACTGCGTGCCATGTGGAGTCGTCAAAAAATGAGCGGGTGAAGAGGCGTCGGAAAATGAAGTGAGTGGAGGGATATTTTGCCGGAAAATGAAGTAGGGTTTGTGGGGTAGGTGGGGATAGGGGTGAGTATATAATTTAATTTATAACGTTATCTATTAATATTAAATGTGGAATTATCACCTAATTTTTGATAATCAAATCTTAAACCTGTTTTTTGAATGGTAATATTTAAAAATTTGTGTCAGTGTAATTTCCACATATTTACGTGGTGCACAATGTCTATTTTTTTAGAGTTTGTTTGGCAAAATTATTTTTCTTCGAATTTATTTTTAGGCGTACTATAATCCCTTAATAAATGAGCTCATTTTCAATATCAAATCCATGTATAACCACTTGAAGCAAGATAAACCAATATGAACACGAGTGCTTGTTTGGGCTCGTTTGATTCGATCTATCATACCATATGTTGTCATTTAAATTCATCTTTTCGTAATAATATCAATATGTTTTAAAGAAGAACTATTTTGATAAGAAAATTATAAAAGTAGGACTTAGCATTTGTTCATTATTTTCAAAATATATTTTTTTCTAGTTTATTTTCAATTATACATTTTTCAATAAAATAATAGTACACACAAATCCAAAATTTTTTTAACCACACATCTTTCATCAATCTACTATTTCAAAATGCATTCTTAGACCTTGTTTGTTTTGGATTAAAATCAGATTTTAATTTAAGTCAAAGTTAAACAATCAATATTAACCATATATTTCAAGGGTTTCACAGTTTTTCAACAATACATTTTAAAAACTTCTATCACAATTTATTAAAAATCAAATTTTAATTCCCTTTAATTCCCACCAAACACCTGCGAGACTCAGCCCTTTTTTGATGCTCATTTTATGCAAGAATTTGATTTTGAATAGTGATTGATGGAAGAATGTGTAGTTAAAAAGTAAGGAGAATTTTTAGGTTTATATATAATATTATTTTATTGATAGAATCTGTGATTGAAATGTAGAAAGAAAAAAAAAATGAGAAAGAGAATCTGGAAAAAAAGGGGTACGGATCAAAGTCGCCCTTCGCCTCTTCCATAAGGGGCTATTTTGGAAGTCCCCACAAACGTAGAATGTATTTTTGGGGTTCGCTGGAACACACTGAAACCATACGTTGGTTCCGATGGCTTTCAGTTCGCAATTGCTAGCATTGCCCCTGCCGTTCTCGTCAAGGGCTTACTCGCGGTCGTTGGCCAATCCCGTGCCTGTGACTGTGGCTCTGCTGCAACGTCACCACCGCACCATATCTTTCACCAACACAAATAATAATCCCTTCCCCTACTTGGACAATAACCTTGCTATTACATCGGGACGAAAGATAAGCCTCATTCGATGCTTCTCTGGTAACTAGTCTTCTTCAATATTTTTGATAGATTCAGTTTTCTTTTGGTTTTGAGAATTTGCATACGTTAAGGGTAAATCCAACATTATCAGGGCTTGTAATACTCTTCTTAACAATCTTAACCTTTTAAGATGGACCCTCGTTCCAACATGCCCTCAGATGAGTAATTTGATCGATCTAAAGCTCAAAACCAGCATTTGGATTCTAAGATTGGTGTGTTCTGCGAGCCACCTATGGCCTACTACTTGCGGGTCATTTTAAGGGTCAAATAGAATAAAGATGTAAAAAATAACATGTAAGGGCTTAGGATTATTCTTTTAATCAGGTTGATAGCATCTACTTGCTAACTTAGTAGCATACGCTAAATAATATATAAATAAAATCAGATCTTCAACTTATAGATTTATTTGGTTTAAGATTTGGATTTGAGGTATCTCTCTGCTATAAATATCACTGCTACTTGACTACATGATCCACATCTATGTGCCCCATTGATGTCACGATTTTCTGCAAGCTGCCTCGCCCTAACTTTGTAAAATCTCAATTCAACAATTTGTTGGCAGGTACTCTGTGGCCTTCTACTCCTATTCTGTAATTGCAATTACCTTGCATCTTTCTATTAATTTAAATACGCACTTGCTCAGAGTGATGGTGGTCTTACCCTGTTGCAACTGATCTGTCTTTCCATGAAGCTTTTTTTTTATCTTGGAAAGGTCAACTCACATGGCATAATGCACATAACTAGTTGTAGTACACTAACAGATGGCTATGGTGTAAACTGTATGAAGAGTGCATGCTTGTTTTGAATTTTGTGGTAAGTATAGAACAAGACGAGATTTCCCGATTTTTAGTCTTTAGAGCGTGAACATGAAGTTTTTCCACTAATTCTGGGTGTATAAATAAGGCCCCTTTTTAAAAAATTGACAAATTTACCCCCTCTCTAAATGTATTACCATACTCTCCCCCCCTTATTGCACGGATTTTGAATCATTTAGGCATTCTCATCAAACTATTCAAAGTTAGTGGGACTGCCTAGATGGTTTAGACACACTCTTTATTACTTTTTGCATGAATTTTCAACCATCTTCAAATTCTTGTCAAACTAGGCAGAATTGACGAGAGTTTTTAATCCATTTAGACGCTCTAGTGTTTTCAACTTTGCCTAGATCTTCTAGAGGACATTTTAATAAAAAGCAATATGGTTATTTTGTACAACTGAGTGGGCATATTGAATAAAATTTTTGGCAGGAGATAAATTTTTTTTGACAAAAAAGTTGACCAGTTGAAAATTTAGTGTCAACGAAAAATATTAAGAGCAAAAGGTAGTGCCGTATTACTTAGGATATACTTCAAAGTGCAACTCATATAGCATTTATATTGGGGAAAATAACTGTTATATGCACCCATGTAATTCTTAGGATGCAAAAATGTATTCACCATTGCCATCTTTTCTGTGAAAGCAATATATTGGGCAAAATGATAGACACTTACCAGTAGGTATCTAATTAAGATTTCTGCAAAATGTTTCCGCTTAAACTTTATCCTACAGGGCTCCGAATTTAGTACTGCTCAATCAGATTGATTTCAATAAGAAGTTAATTATTGTAGTATAACCTGCAATCATTTTCACTTGGCAAAGAATAATCAGGTTTTACCTTGTTCTATATGTTCTAGCCTCAGTAGTGAATATCAAATAACTTCATTTGGAAACTCAATCCAACACTTAAATTGTGAAGTTGATGACTGTTTTCTGAATATCAAAAGCCCAAGTGTATGTGATTCCTTTTACATGGGGTAAGTCAATTTCGATTAAGTTCTGCGTTGACCAAAATCCTAAGTGTGGTACATTTGTGAACAACTAAAATCATGTGCTGAACAATGACTGTATCTTTCATTGAAGAGAAACTCACAAAAACACATTTAATGCAAGGATGACTTATTTTGATTAATTTAAGACATGGATCCAACATTAGAATTCATAAAGGTAAGTTAGGTAACAGCAAAATAATTTTAAAACCTATTCGTTTCTGTCTTCTCATTACTTTGTGTATGCATGACATCTGTTCTTCGTGACGATCTACTCAGAATTACAGTTAACAAGAAATTGAAATCTCATGAGTATCAAAGAAAATAATGAAACGGTGGCGTGGTAGCATGTAGTCAATATGTATAATTAAAGTTTTCTTGCTTGTCTTTTTTATTTTCTTCTACTTCCATTGATTTGTTTTCTGCACTTGTGAACTTTGTTCATTGACATGAGATATCTTACATCTGGCTGCCTTTTTTGTTCAATAATGATTCAGCTCTAAATCCTGAGCTGAAGACTACCTTGGATAAAGTTGTTACATCACAAAAAGTAGTTCTCTTCATGAAGGGAACAAAGGAATTCCCACAGTGCGGATTTTCAAACTCTGTTGTGCAGATACTGAAATCCTTGAATGTGTCTTTTGAAGCGATAAATATTCTAGAAAATGAAATATTACGTCAGGGATTGAAGGAGTACTCCAACTGGCCAACATTTCCACAATTGTACATTGATGGCGAGTTCTTTGGTGGATGTGACATTACTGTAGGTAAGTAATACATTATCTGACAATGATTATGGCATTTGTGTTCTGGTGGTACTGAAAGATATTAGCTCTGTTTTTTTAGGGAGTATATTGAAGTGTTGCAGGAACTTTATTTGTTCTTTAATTTCATTCTCTGTAGCACGGACACTTCTATTAGGATAGCGTATTCGTGTCGGACACGTGTCGAAACCGACACTTCTCGGATACTCTACCGTAATCATTTTTTTTTATATTAGAAATATTATATATTGTTAATTTAAAGTTATTAGCAAGTAACAAATAGGTATTCATGTTTAAAAGATTTCAATAAGAAAAATTAATAATAAGTATAAAACTAAATTTATACTATATAAATGAAGAATTTTTAAGAATTTAATCAACGTGTCAATAACATGTCGTGTTTTTACTTTTTTTTAAAAATCGCGTGTCAACATATCCGACACGTATCTTGTTGGACATAGGTGTCCGTGTCGGTGCATCATAGATTTCATTTGTCCATTTTCATTAATAATTTACACTGACAACTCATTAGGTTTAAGATGGTTGCACATGTTTCTCAGTTCGGAAATTACAATGGTACACCTTACATGTTGATTCAACAACAGATCGTTGTTAACACTGATACCTATTCAAATTCTCAATGGTGGATAAAGATAAGGAAATGGTTAATTAATTCAAATTGAGTTAGAGTGAAGGAAAGTCTTCCACTAAAAGCACGAATACTTGTAAACTCTTTACTTACTCATATTCGATACATATCCAAGTTTGGATGCTATCTGATACGTACTTTGATACGTACATGATCCATGTTTTTTAATGATTTTATCATTTTTATATTTTTAAAATTTTCGATACATATTGGATATGTATGCTTTTATTATTTTATACTTTTTAATTGTTTTCGATATGTATTGAGTGTATTAGGACACATGAAGAATAGTTTGATGTTTTTGAATTCTCTTAAAACTCATTATTATTGGCTGTAGATTAAAAAATAAATTGCTTAATAGATAAATATTATTATTATCAACAACTTATTGAAAATAAATATTTAGAAATAAACAACTAGAGTTTTTTTTTAATTGAAAATACATAATAGTATTAAATTTTTTAATACATATAAAATCGTGTTATTATTAGAAAAATATATTTTTATTATTTGAAATAGATAATGGTATTAAATATCTATTCAAATGGGGAATTAAAAATGTGGGATATTGTCGGATACTCATCCGATACTCTTGAAGGTGTTGGGTTGTCGCTGTTTGACACCCATTCTCAACTCATTCTCATTTTTTTTCTTTCTTCATTTCAACCACACATTCTCTCAATAAAATAATATTACACACAACTCTAAAACTTTTCATAACTTTTCCACCACACATTTTCCCATCAATCACTATTCCAAAAATTCCATTCTCCAAAAAATGGGTGTCAAACACCCTCTAATTTTTAATGATAATGAAAAAGCTGATGTTGAAGAAAATGAAGTTGGGACATTAAAGATTAATATAAAATGCCTAATTTTTTATTTTATTTTTATTGTCTGCATATTATTATTATTATTTTGCATTCCCATAGCAATTGTACAATTAAGTCCTAGATTTAATATTACTAATTTAGATCTCTAAGTGGTTGGAAATCTCTTCAATGAAGAGATGCAAAGGAAATGCAAATTGTATTTTTCGACAAAAAATTTAAGAGGCAAAAAGTGGATTTAGATTTTCACATTGAAGCAAAATTTGAATTTAGATCCATCGGGATGTAAATGAGAATGCAATAGTGGTTTTTGTGATAACATTTTATGCCCAATTTTACGCCACCATTGGATATGTGAAAAAGATTGGACTTCTTGATTGGGGGTTTAACAGAAAATACTTTGTTCAGAGGACAATGGTAACTTGGGACAGCTAGAAAATTACTTTTTGGGTAACTTGGAGATGAATGTTTAGATTTTTATGGTTTCTCCTTTTCTGGAAGAACAGTATTTGGTTTTGTTTATTATAACCGAATTGGTATAGATGCAATTTTTGTCGAATATTGTCTCTTTTTGTGGGACAGAATGGAAGAATAAAAAGTTTCATGAATTTGTAACAGAGGCATACAGGAGCGGGGAGTTGCAGGAACTGTTAGAGAAGGCAATGTGCTCGTAACTCCGAAAGTCCTTTGGTGGCTTGGCTATTCAATGTTTTTGTAAACATGTCCTGAATTTGATACTGGTCAGTTAAACTTTATACCTGCATTCTCTTGGGAAAAAAATGACATCAACTCCTATATGTGGGAATATGTGTAACTTTTCACTTTTATTTATTTATTTATTTTTCTTTTCTATTCCCTTGACGTGTTCTGTTATTATCTTTAATACAATATATTTTGAGGAGGTATTCATCCCAAGATTTCTAGGCATCTCCTGAGGCGGACAGTCAGTGGTGGCTTTGGGCTGAGCTGAGAAAGAGACATGGCTCCCATTATGAATCCAACTGGAAGCATATGAACTAGAGGAATTAA